TCAAGAGTTGCAGCAAGATTCATACAGCGCTGAGCGCTCTCCTCTCGTTGGATAGCCAACTGTTGTTGCTCATCGATCGGATTGGTGATGATTGCATCGCTCACTATGGGTGCTCGATGCGGCGCCGATGGCGCGTTGGCTTCGCCACGCTCGGCAAATGGGTTCGGTACAGTATGAGGCGGTGCCTCTTGCACTGGTGAGTCGGAAATTGTCCTCTCTTCACCATGAATATCGGTATCGCTACCATAATCCACCTATACGTCAATTCCGGAATAGGACGAGAGAGTCGAGGACTCATGGGGTGGCGATGCCATGGTGTTACGTGTTTTGCCAACCGTGAAGGTTGAAGCGCACACACACCGTCCTGTTCGAGGAAAGAATTCGATTGACGTTTTGTGGAAACGTCAGTCTGGTGGGGGAGGATGTAAAAGGGTTTATAAGTCGACTGGTAGTCGACAATAGATGTGGTGCACACAAGGGATGGGATCTCCTTTTAAAGTGATATTAGAACACAGTATCAATTGTTGGAGGCTGATGTCTGCCAACCATTGATTACGAGATCTTTTAATAGATTTATTTGGGACATTAGCGAGTAGGTTAACTACTTTGTTCTAAGGTGTTGTTTAGGTTAAAAGAAGAAATAAAATTCAGTTCCCATTTTGATCCAATAGACACGTGCCTCTTTGAGGCGTCTTGTGATCGTTGAGGAGATAGCAACGCTTTGTTAAGGCAGCTACTCCTTGTGCACTCTGTGCGTTGATTCTCTGCGTCGTTTGGTCCCCCTGGAACAGGGACCGTAAGCTCTCTGAGCTTGTTGACTCTTTGAGTCGGGTTCTTTGAACCAAACCCTATCTCTCTGAGCTGTTGACTCTTTGAGTCGGGTTCGTAGAATCAAAGTTGCTCGTTGATCGTTAAAGCGTACCTCTGACATAAGGAGCTGTGTAGCTCCGCTACAATACACGTCGTATTGCTAAATGCGCTACTACGATTGGTTTCTCGAGAGGTTTCCGCTGAAGTAAATTCTTAATTTTTTTGGTGATATGTGTACCGCTGTCATGTTCTTGTAACTTTCTTTCTAGTCTACGCTAGATGGTGATGCCAAATAGTACATCTTCTAGCCCATGAAGGATAGCTACTCTCGACCTCCCCCGCTTATTTATTTTGTGTGAAGTAGCGCGTTCCATGCTCTCCACCTCTTACGATCCAATTTATTTAGGTACGAGTATTAACGCGCATGTAATTTTAAGAGTATCCTTAACCGATTTCATATGGCCCTGTCGTCCTCGAAGCTCTTCGCTCTCTTCGTGCATCCGCAATTTAACAATGTCACTATCGCGGCTATCTTTTCTGCTACCACGTCCTCCTTTACCTTATCGTGTGAATTCGCAGCGTCCCGCATTTCCTTTTTGTGTTTCTCCATAGCTTATCGGCCATATGTACTCGTCCCACGTCGACAATTACTCCTCAGTGCTTTCCTACTGCCATTGTTCTTCAGTGGCACAGTACATCGCATAAGTATTGATTATCCATTCGATGATTTGAGAGAGTGAGTGAGAAAGTGAGGTATATTTAGGTACGCTTACGACCTGCTATATCCCGTCATCCGGCAACAAGGTTACCGGGGTGACTGCTACTTTATATACTAGGTAGCACTAGGCTCGGACATCAGAACGTCTACGCGCAGACTCCTGTCGCGAGATGATCAGGTTACTCGATGTCAGGACGGGGCCTTGCATGACGTATTGGTCGACTCGAGAGGTCCCGAACCAATGATTGACGTCAGAATCAAGAAATGCCGTGGCCTCCTGGAAAAGAACGGGGTCAGAAGAAGCGTGCGCTTTAACCGAAGCTCCTGTGTAACGGGGCGCAACCTTGCGTGGACTTAACGCAAGGGTATCGTACCCCGCCAAGCGTACACGAGGCAAACGAGGAAGCGTAGATAAGGGAAAAGTAAAACTGTTATATTAATATAATTAAGTCTTTTAACTCATGTCTCTCTGTTTGACTTAACTTAATTATGCTAATATAACTGAGTGTATGGTGACGTCTCGTCACCACTCATTGCGCGCGTCTTGCGGCGATTGGTGGGTTGATATCATCAAGATATCAACCAATGAACAGACTCTTTGGTCGACCCTTCAATATCACCGCTTCGGTGATATTGTTTAAAGAATATTCAACTTCATATTCTTTATTGTCACTTTTCTTAAAGTGACAATTCCATGTAACGGGCTGCCCCGTTACACGCAGGCCTTTGCTCGCCGAAGACCGTGGACGAGCCCCCAGTATTCGGCAATATTGTTAGTAGTATCGGCAGAGGCATAGGCCACGCTCGCTACCCACAAAACGCATGCGGCGTGCGTCGGAACGTAAGGTCGGACAATTATAGATCCAGCTCCGCCTGGACCTGGATTTCCGCGGGATCGTCCATCGAAAAAGAAGAGGTATAGCACTCCTGGGCACCGTTTGATTGGTCGTACGTGCAACAAAAGAGGATCGTCGTAGCAGAGGAGGGTATCAGCCAAGGCCGATCGTACCTGCTCAAACATGTACCTGTCCTCCCCCATGTCGGGCTGGTAGGTTGGTCCACGAAACCTTCGAACCGACCGGCGAAAGATAGTCTTGGCCCTAGCTGTGTGAACATCCTGTGATAGATACGGGTCTTCCATGCGGCGGAGGCGCTCGACTAGATGGCATGAAGTGTCGTTGATACGATAAACCGCCACAGCTCTCGAGCTGCCGGGACGACCGCAGCCTGATCTTTCAATAAATCTGCCCCTGTGTTCATAGATGGCTTGATAACAACCCAGGCTTTGGGCGGAATCCCCGGTAGGTCCAGTCCAAACACCCAGACATGCAAGTCATTCTCGGGGGACGTACCAAGCCGTCGCCACCGATCAAGGAGATATTTCCAGTGTCGACGCGCGCTAGGGCATGTCCAAAAGATATGTCTTGCCAGAGCTGGACCAGCATCCACACACTCTCGATAATTTGAGAGAATACGCCGTACGCTTTACAGCTCTTACTGGTGATGCACCCAACCTCGTCGGCGATCCCCATAAGCGCCTCTTCGTACCGATCGAATCACACTCGCGCCATAACGTCAGCTTACAAGGATAACATGAGACACATCGGGCAAATGACGTCCTGGCTACATTACCGTATCCTTTCAGCCCACAGACAGCCGTCATTCATACTGGGAAAGCGTATTGGACGAAGAAGGTCGACACGTTTTTCCGATTACAGGGATGTTGAAGATGCGAACGGTATCGTACGGCTATACAAAGGCCATAGATGAGTGCTTTGTTCGATCCGTACTCCGATCGTTACGTCAAAATGCCACAAAGGTCGGTAACGTTCCATTGCACGACGAGCTAGATACCGCTTCGATCCCTGCACACGTACGCACCTTCTGTCGAAACGTGAAGGAGAAAAGCAAGATCAGTGTACCTCAAAGACTGAAATGGAGACATCATTAAAGAGTTACCACTCCACGTCACTTATAAGTTGTTGACCACTACGTCGACGAGAACAGTTTTAGCGTCAGCAGTCTATAACAAGGGGTGACATTATACACCCGGCCATATCAGAGATCACCATGGTGAGGCTCGCTTCACTCGCACATCGTCTTAGAGTTCTATAAGGACAAGTTCGCAGCTCAAATTTTTCCGCTTCACATTGACATGTCTATTGTCAACGAGCTCATCGAGTCATCGGATGTCAGATACCTGATATAGCACATCTATCGTCTCGGATGGCATCACAGTAAAGCAAGATATTGTAACTGCACCTGGGCTCGTTCTCGCACTAGGTTTTGGCCATCAGCACGTACTTGGTCAATGTGTCGTTGTGTAGTGCGCGCTTTCGATCCTAGCGGAGGCTTCTGGTCGAACTAGGCATGTAAGACCCGCTCGTTGAAAGTCTTTATTTCGTATTCGTTCTTGATGACTCGACTTCGACAAAGGAAGAGCGGCGCGCATCAACGATTATGCATTTTTTCATGCTGCGGATGATCGTTAAAACGACTGCGTATATCACCGGATCGATAGCGCTTACTGTAATGTTCGGCCCTACGGTCGAGCAAAACAAGTGCGCGCAGCTTCCAGGCATCCAGTCGTAGCTACATCGGTCAACTAAGCCCTACGAGTACAGCTCATCGTAGCATGATGCCTTATGTTCATATCTGCAGCTGACGCACGCCAGCTTTCTACTTACGACGTGTCAGCAATTGTCCATGTCGACAGCGTCGTAGGATAGCTATACCGACCATTCGCTTTTTTGGGTATGGAAGCGTCAACGTCAGCAAGCGAATTTGCGAAAGCACGGTGTTTCCTCCGTATCACCAGTCGATCCCAACGGTTTGAATCGATCACGATCGATTGCTGACACTACCGTGCCGAAGGAAACTTTCACGTTGATCGACGAGGTGCCGGGACGACATCGAATCCATTTTTGGAAGCGAAGCAGGACGTCACAAAGACGAGCGAGTACGTTGCTTGCAAGAAGTTTCAGTGCTTATATCCCAGGCCAGCGTAGCGATCGAGAAGCCAATGAGATTCGATGAGCTGAAGCTGTTTTTTTCCTCTGCGGCCGTTGTCAAGACAGTTGCGCGACTTGAGGAGGTTTACCAATGCTTCGATCGCGTAACGATACTTCCATTCAATGACCCTGACATGCAGACAGACACACGAAGACAGCGCAGACACATGAAGACAGCGCTTTGCGACATGTGGCAGTTGAGAGTGTGAACGCCTGGGACAATAATTGAAGTGACTCGACATGTGTCGATTCGTTCCTTCGGCATCTACATCGCGTTCTGTCTCGTCCCGGAAGAAGGAAGTCACGATATCTTCTTGCCGACTTCCACACGCTGAGCTTCGAGTTGACAAACCGACATCGAGACGCAAAGCAAGTCGATCACGCTGCCGCGCTTATCGCTAGAGAACAGCTGCCGAACAGCCCAAACGCTGGCTGAGACAGCGGTACAGCTAATCAAGAACATGGCTGCGACTGGACTGGGGGAGGTCGCATCTTCTTCTAGAACACCGGCGCAAACACTTGAGCTTGCTGCTTGCTCATCGAACACAGACGACGAAGAGGACGAGGCTAAGCGTGACTACAGGGCGGAAGATGGGAGAGACAGTGAAGCTGATTGCGGGTTCAGTTGCTCTACTGTAAACGCGATACCTGGCGGCAGTAAATCCCGCGGGAACTATGGCACAGAAGAGGAAGTGCTTTTTACGGTGAAGAAGCAAGAGCTTGCGAAACAAAAGCTGGATGCAAGTGTCCCGACCCAGTCGGTCAGTTTGGACGCCTCAGCTACTGAGTTTTACAAGGTTGATGGAAAGCGTTACACTGCCATTCGAGACACCGTCATCGTGACAAAGTTATCAAGTGGCGTTCCTGAAGAGACGCGAGAATTCTCTGAGCATTTGCGTGAAGACAAAAGCGACTTGACAGCTGCAGCGGCCACTTCAGCTACTGTGATCGACTGTACGACTATGTTGACGTGGGAATCTGCAGCAACTCAGTCTACGAGTAATGTAGACGAGAGTACCAGCAGCTGCGTATCGTCGGACGGCGGCCAAACGTATAGCCGCGAGGAGGATATAGAGTTGAAGGAGTTTGTGCAACGTCCAAGAGGCAGTATCGCTCCTTGTCATCAATACGAAGAAATGAATGATGATGCGAACGGAGATCAGACGTTTGCGACGGAAGCTGGATCGGTTCAGAATAACGATGTACGCCTGCGAACAGGGGAGCCCGTGGAGAGTGAGCTAGCAGGAACTCGATCGGTCGAGGTTGCGTCGAATGGTGGCATGGATCGTGAACCCGAGAACCTTGGAACTGGTGCACGGAATGATGGTCAAAAAGCGTCAGGGGGACCCCGAATGGTACAGGCAGATGTAGCGGTTCGTACAGAGCATTCACTAGAGGATGAGGCCAAATCTAAGTGTTTGACGACCACTAAACCCGGGACTGCTGCAAAAAGGAAGCAGAGCTCCTTATTGGAAAGTGATTTAGCCAAGAGCAACGACGGTGGCGACGATCGTTCACCTGACGATAGTGCTGCACCTGCTCCTACCCAGACCCCGGAACGGTCAACGCGTACAGACACGAAGAAGAAGAAGAAGAAATGGTCCTCTCTTCCCGGAGCTGCACAGTCACGATGTCTGCGCCGGTCACCAAGGGTAAAGGTGGAGCCACTGAAGCTCACGTATTCGAATGAAAAGCAAGTTGCAGGCCCTGCCGTTCTCGCGCACTTTGACCGGCTGAAAGGGAGCAATGCTTCATCCCCAGCCACTCCTGGTATAGTTTGTAAGTACTCTGGAACCCAAGTCACGATATCAAGAGGTGTCGCAGCAAGACATCTTGAGAAGTGCCCATCGTTTGGACGAAATGCATCGCAGCTGGATGAAGCAGATGATGACGAAGACAAGGCACAAGCGTCGCCACCGGTACCTTCATTAGTACAAGCCGTTAAGCTGGAGTCTGGTTCTGGTCAGCCAAGATTGGCTTCTTCTCTCGTTCGTCTGATGGGAACGAAGGCGTTGGCAGCAAAGCTGAAGCAATCGTTCCAACGTGCTCCATTTGCAGGAAATGCACCGATTTCTCGATTTCAACAGTTGATTGGAGACGACGTTACTGGGTTGCGGCACCTGAACGTGTTCAAATTGTTGGACGCTATAAACCACCTGGATGGCCCTATACTGCAACTGCATGTAAAATGGCCAGGCGTTCGGCGTACCACGGGACAGGACGAAGTAGGCCCCGTGTCAAAAGCAAAAGCTCGGTGTTTGGAAAGCTGCTCTCTTCGATTTCCGACACCTCGCCGTGTGGCGGATCACTTTATTGCACCGTTGGCGAAAGAGTTGGGGCTCGAGTATTCAATGCGACAGCACACTGCCACTTTGACGAGCTGCCCTCTTGAGGGAGCTGTGCTGGACTGGCGATTCCATCGGACCGAGACTGTGGTGTTCCAACTTCGCGGTGAGTCGATCTGGAGAACAAAAATGAGCCAAGTGGAGCTCCCATGCCAATGCTTCCACCCACAATCCTGGCTACAGGACGACATGATTCGTATCTCCAAAGTACACCGCATGGCTACGATAGACAAGACCTCCGTAGGGTTTCTTTCAACGCCGGATGAAGATCGCAGTGTGCTTAACAAGGACGAACAAGTAGCTGCTAAGCAACGAGAGTTTGTACTCAAACCTGGCTCGGTCGCTTATCTGCCATCGGGTGCGTGGTTCAAGGTGGAGACAAAAGGACCGACTGCGTTGTGGATTGAAGTTCAACTGTCTTCCACGACTTACGAAGAGTTGGCGCTTTCAGCACTTGAGCAAATTGCTCTGGGGGATAAGCGATGGCGAACGGGAGTGCAATTATATCCTGGCAATCGGGCCCAGCTCAAGACGTCCCGACATCGCATGGAAGCATGCATCGAGTCCCTTTACAATGACTTGACTAAGCTTGAGGGTGGGGATTTGCTACCCGAGTATATGGGGACAGAAGACATGCAAGAGCTGATTGCGCATGGGTTGATTCACAAAACACGCACATCTTCTACCTCGACGAGCATTGAAGTGGATTTGACAAACCCCAAGTTTAAGCTCAAGCATGAAAAAGTGTTCAGAAATGCCACTTACCGAGTAAACCCGGTCGCGGTTCTCATGAGCGATGCGGACATTCCACACTTAACTGTTCACGAAGGAGTGGAGCGTGCAGCTACAGGAGGCCCTGCTTCCGAAATGAAGCATCGTGTATTGAAAAGGACTCCAAAACCAAAGCAGGCTTTGCACACGCTCACGCATCGTGATAAATGCACCTATTTTCTGGACGAGCTATTCGGCAATGTTGAACGTCAGCCGCAACTGCATGTCACCTTCCACTGTTCCGCAGAGCAGTCAAGAATGGTGGAATGGCTCCGTTGTCGAGATTCGAAGCCTTTTGATCTGAACGAGTTTGGTTGTTCTAGTGTGTTGACCTACCAGAGCGCAAGCCCAGCTCGACGTGTTGAGAATGGACGAAAGCTGCTGCGATTTTTGTGCTTCGTCGGATATATAACGCAAGTGAAGTCGCCTTAGCGGATCGGCGGGAACTTGCATATGAAGTGGTGAAGGCGTCCGGTTTGGCCGATGAGGTGCTCGCTAGTGGGATAAGAGGGTACGAGGCAGACTCGAGCGTGGCCCTGCTTTCGTGCACGTTCTTGTGGATATGACATTGTAGTAATGCCCGTTGAAAGCGGCCGATTTGTGGACCAGCGCTGAATCTCTAGTAGCTGCACACCACTGGCGTGGATCCGCCGTTTCGTGACCCAAGCAGAAAATGCGAGTCCTTTCATATGCTGATCTCGCCCTCACTCTAACTCGATGATCACGACTCGGCGCTTAAACAAGGTACGCTGGACGAGACGAACAGCGGTCAGGAAAAAAATGAAAGGCAAACTCATTTCTATAACATGCTTTTTTCTGATGTGGAAGCGTTGTAAATTAGTGAACTCTGACCTCCCAGAAATATTAAATGCGATCGAGTATTGTGCAATATACAGCTTTTTTGCGCGCAAGCAATAAAATCGAAAGCTGTTCATTGACGATTTGATGTACCATCGGATCAGCCGGTGGTACACAATTCCATCCATGCCAATAATCGACAATCAGTTATCGGCAATGAATTGGATTGATGCACCACCAGCGAAGCCGGTATCGATGAAATACTGAACGTGGCTCTAGCCGGCACTGTGGGTAGAAGAGCACCATCTTTGTAACTAATTGTAGAGCTGGGCAGCATTACCGTGCTTCATTTACAGAAGTGGTGGAAACGGACGCTAGCCGCTCGTACATCATCACGCAGTAGTCGCGTATCGGCGGTGGCCGTAATTTGAAATGTTTTGCAGTGACTGATATGCCGTTGATCCTCTTCTTCTTGTACGACACACGTCTTCTGCTTTCGTTGAGGTAGCGACAAGATAGTTGGGGCATTGCCTGAGCTCACCATCCAGACATCGTGACGAAGGTCGCAAGTTCTACAAGGAGGGTCGGCGGGTTGCCATGCTGCCTCCACACTGCTCGCTTCATCGACTTTGGTTTCGTGAATTGCTTGGCTATTTTAATAGGATTCGCTGACTAGTTGACGCTTTTGGCATGGAGCGTCGAACGCAATTGCAGGCAGGTCGTGGGTTGATAGGATTGTTGTACGACTGTCGAACTGCGGCACACTAGCATCGGAACGGACCGATCGGACGGACTGAGCTCGTGGGTTCAAATTCCGAAACTGCACGAACCATAACGTATTTGATCTATCACTTGTTTGCGCTATAGTAGCGTCGCTGCGATTACATTTAATTGCGCTTGTGTTGAACGCGCTGCTATCCGGTGTTGCACTGCGTGGCCACATAGAATGGGTGTGCAAGCTGCATAAGCTAACGTACTTGTTTATGCCATCTCATGTCGAGCTCAGGGCTCTGGCTTAGATGGTATACAACTGATGCAGAGCCATTTTGCCTTGCTACCGTCAGCTGTATTGCATGCTACCGATTCAGCAGACTCATTTTTGCGGCAAATGGGTCACACCTAGCCTACAGATATTTTCACAGAATATGGACATGCATCGCGTGCTGTACATGATGGTGACGATACATTGTTGCGCAGCCATCAAGATTTCGCTTCAGTGATGTACGACTGGCTTCTTTGAGGTGAGTCGAGGTGCCGACTGTGATGAGCAACCGTAGCGAAACCACTGCAAGAATGCTCAAGTAAAACACCGGGCAGGCGTTTGATTTGTGCCTCTAACAGCTAGTATTGTAGGGTCATCGTCCGTGCTCCTAGAATACTAGCTACCACAGGCAGACGGGTCAAGCTAGCCTGAAATAGTAGCTAGCACAGATAGACGGGTCAAGTTGGCCTAAAATATTAGCTATCACAGATAGACATATCGAGTTTCCTGACATACCTGCGATCGGTTGCACTGATATCGCTGCCGTGTCGCGACGTGTCATTTGTTGCCGAGAATATTTCCCGTGGGCCTCTTTTGCTGCTTCGTATCCTTTTTATAGGTCAACAGCACTCGCACGAACAAATGATCGAGTCGGCTATGCTGTCACCCGGTTGGACAGATCATTGCCGTGATGCACGCATCATCACCATTGACACGCGCACTAAAAAGAAATTGCTCCTTGCCGAACATCAAACATGTCGTACCAGTCAGCCAGAGCTTCTTGGCTCCACAAAAACCGCCAAGTCCAAAACAACCACTTTGTAGTACGCGACTACTGCCCGACCAAAAAAGCAGTTTCACTGCTGTCGTACTTAATGAAAAACCTCGTCAACTTAATGGCTTCGACCACCATTCCATGAAGATTCCGACACTGTTTGTATTCCGACAAATAAATATTCCGACAACAAATAATGTCTTTTTCATCCATACAAACACTAGGTGCCGTCGACTCGCTTGCAGCACCCACTCGCCCATCCACACTCGGCGTCCATTTCGCGGGTTTCAACCGCAGCGCGGACAGCGAACAGAAAGCAGTGCGGACTCGTTGCGGCGAGCCAGTGGGCGCCACGTTTCCCCCCGTTCCTCGCTCTCTTCGTCCGTGGCCCCACCACAAGCGCCTCGACGTGTCACGACGATGGACACGGGCGCCTCGAATGACGGTACGCTGGCCGACGACCGCAGTCAAGCGGAGTTGAGTGGCCGAGATCTTCGTCTCGGTCGTTCCCGTCTCGTCTTGCGTCTTTTTCACGCACCTTGCCAAAGGCGTGGCCTCGAATCAGGACGTAACGAGGCTCAGTCGATTGTTAATGCGTGTTGCAGCCGCTGCATTGGCCACCAAGCGAGACGAAACGCTCGGCGGGACCGCCGCGCAGACGAGCGCTGTGAAGCGCGAGACGCAGGCGCTGGAGCCCGAGGCCAGTCCGGACGCGAACGCAGACAGTGCGAGCGGTGGGCCGTCGATGAAGATGGAGGACGATGCGCTGACGAAGAGCCGGGACGACGGCAAACGGCGTCAACGACGCACGAGCATGAAGAAGGTGAAGTACGTGCAAGAGGACGGCATGTCGGAGGAGGAAGAGGTGCTGCTGGCGGACAAGAAGAAGCGGGCGCAGCAACTGGACTACCAGCTGAGAGCAGTACGTTGTCGACACGGACGTGTGGCCTGTGCGTGCGTGTTGATGCACTGATGGGTTGTTACTTTTTCGTTTGCTTGTATGTGCACGTGTGCGTGTGCTGCCTCGTGTTGATAGGACGTCGGCTACCCGCGATTGGACCAAATTGTTGGTCGACGCATGAACGAGTCGACGGGACTCGTGGAATACTTGTGCAAGTTCCTCGGTCGGTCCTATTTGCACCTGTATTGGCTCACTTTTGATGAAGTGGATCTTTTTATTCCAGAAGGGTACCAAAAGTTTCATCGCGTGCATGTGTACGACCGAAAGCTGAGACGCGAGGGGTACCAACCGCTAGACGAAGTTGATGATTTGGAGGCAAACAAACTGACAGTCGAAAAGATTTTGAATCACAAGGTGGACCCGGCCAGCCACTTAGACGAGCAGATTGAAAAGCGCCGACAGCAGCTGCTGTACGAGCCAAGGTTTCCTCGTATGACGGACTATTTCTTGATGGATAAGACTGACGCAATTCCTGAGCGCATGCTGGGCATTGTGACGAAGCTGATGAAAGAACCGGGTGGCGATATTTTTGAGCACCCCGTTGATGTCGAAGAGGTCCCCGACTATCTCAACGTTATCACGAATCCTATCGACCTGGGAACGATATTTACGCGAATCGGTCGCGAAAGTTACTACGTTGGCTCATCCGCTGTGTCGTTGTTTGCCTCAGACGTGCGACTGGTGTTCCACAACTGCAAAACGTACAATGCTGAAGGATCCGTCATCTGGCATACTGCCGACGAGCTTCTGCGCTGCTTTGAAAAGTGGTTGTACGAGTGGATTCTTTGTCCAACGGCTTGGCTGAAGCTCCCGTCCACAGGAAACACGAAAGAGGAGCTAAACCTTTACAAAGAGTTTCGTGCGGAAGCCGAAAGCTTATATGACGTATGGGCGCCTTGGCAGGTTGGCTGTTGCGTGTGTGGGAGCAACGGTCATAGCGAGGAGCTCTTGCTGTGCGATCGGTGCGATGGTGAGGTTCACATGCGCTGTGCTACCCCGGCCATCTCGGACTTACCGGATGGTGAGTGGTTCTGCGGGTATTGTCGAACGCATACAAAGTTTAGTGAGAATATGGACGAGACAAGGCAGAAATGTGCTGATGACAAGACCGTTGGGACAGGGGCCTCTACTGAAACACTTGATGGTGCTGTTCTTCCGACATTGGGTGCAACCACAGCTTTTTCATCCAACATGAAACCAGCCACCTCAGTAGTGCAGACGCCGAGGATTCTCATGAAACGCGCAGACGGCGAAGGCAAAGTAAACAAGAAGACATCGAAACGCGGTCTCAAAGGTAGCAATGCGACAAAGAGCTTGGCGCCTATCAGTGTAAAAGATCGTGCTGCCACGTTTTTCTTGGTCAAGTGGGTTGGCATGTCAGTGCGCTTTTCGACTTGGGAACGCCCTGAAGATATTGGCGACGATGAACAGATCCACAGGTACTTCAAGTTTAGTCGTGTGCCTAGTGCAAAGGAGATAGGTGAAACTACGTGTCAGTTGCCGTGCTGTGCCAAGAGACATCAGTATGCGCTGGCAACCAGCACGAATGGGGCGAAATGCTGTGTGAAAGATCGCTTTTGTACTCTGGGATTTAGCCACGGAGGGGATTGTAGCCGTAGTATCAAAGCTTTGGGAGGAGCCTACGGCAGCAGCGCCTATCGACGTTTACACATGGCGGAGCAAGTGAAGGCGCAGTTGTTTGCTTTCCATTGCTTGCTGAACAACCACACACCCGACAGAGACGTGCTCAAACAGTGTGGCGCTTGCACGAACGCATACGTCACCACAAAACAGCACCTGACACGGGTGGTCGTTAAAGAGGACGATGATGAAGACTACTCAGATGGAGATGGAGCTTCATCTGATGATGATGCCGACTTCGACGCCGAGCATGATTATTTGAACCGGACTGCTCTTTATCCGGGGATACTGACCTTTGAGAGTGAGGGCGACGATGACGATGACGAGAGTAGAAGTCACAAAAAGAAAACCGGGGAAGAAGTCGGGGAGGTACTTAGCTCTCTGATTGAGCACGTTGCGCTTGGATACCCGACCGACCTCGAAGCTGTCAGTGCCGAATGTCGGTTCGACTCGACATACCCCGCGACAGCTTTCAATGACCTTTTGGCTTTTTCGGAGTTTTGTGTCATGCTAGGCCGATCCCCTTTCGGTCTAGGTATGCGTCTTGGAATCAGCAGTACTAGTAGCGTATCAGTTTTAGGATTCCAGATGCTGGCAAATGGCATGATGGGCCCTGCGCAGGCATCTGGAGCTATTTCGATCGGTGATGTGCTAGTCGCTGTGAACAAGGTATCGGTGGCCGGTCTTTCGTTTCAAGACGTTGTTGGGTTGATCGGTGCGTCTCCCAACCAAATTCTCTTCCACTTCCATTCACCAAGACCTGCGTTCATGTACCCTCCATACTGCCAAGCAAAGCAAGTTACGAAGATACGCTTGGAAACGATTCCAGTCGATGCGGCCCCAGACGACTCGAATTTTGCAGACTTTAGCTACAACAAGTACAAACGGATGCTCAAAGTTGGAGTAGCAGACTCGAGTGTGGCAGCATCAGCTTCGGCGCAGACGTCGCTGCAGCATTCCAACTACATCGCGCCGACCGGTCCCATGCAACATTTGTATGCAGGGGTCGTGGACAACAGTATTGATCCGCACGAGCATTTTGCGAGCTTTCTTCCAGAACGAGGCAGTTCATCGAACGGACGACCGAACGACAGGCTTGGCGCTGCAACTAAGCATGGAGACGCGAATGAATTCGTGCCGTATGAACAGTCGCCGACGTACAAAGGCGGTCGCACACTGCGTACTTACCAAGTGGAAGGTCTCAACTGGATGGTATCGTGCATCAAAGCCCAGCGATCGTGCATACTGGCTGATGAAATGGGGCTGGGAAAGACAGTGCAAATTGTGTCGCTGATCGAGCACATGAAGTCAGAGGAGTCTATTCGTGGACCGTTTCTGATTGTCGTACCGCTTTCTACGATACAGCACTGGCGTCGCGAAATCGAAAGCTGGACGGATCTCAATGTTTGCGTTTATCACGACATTGGAGACCGTACAACCAAGTTTACTGCAAAAGATATGCGTACGGTCATTCGGGATCAAGAATGGTACTACCCGGGTTTGGGAAATTCGATTTTTAAGTTTCACATCTTGCTGACTACGTTTGAGACCATTCTAGCTGACTTCGAAGAGTTCGAGCACATTCACTGGCGATTAGTTGTGGTGGATGAGGCACACCGACTGAAGGGTGCCGGGTCACGCGTGCTGAAGATGATGCGCGTGCTCCACGTGGACCGGAAGGTATTGCTGACGGGAACACCATTGCAGAACAATACGCAAGAGCTCTGGGTGTTGTTGAATTACCTAGAACCAGTAAAGTTTGCGAGTTTGGACGAGTTTAACAAGCACTTTGGAAAGTTGCATTCTCAGGAGCAGGTTGTACGACTTCAGCAGCTGCTGTCGCCGTACATATTGCGCAGAGTGAAGGAAGATGTGGAAAAAAGCATTCCGCCAAAGGAAGAAACGATCATCTCTGTCGAATTGACGACGCTGCAAAAGCAGTACTATCGAGCCATCTACGACAAAAATAAAAGCTTCCTGTACCGAGGTACGAAGAACGGTTTACCAACGCTGAACAACATTCAGCTGCAGCTGCGAAAGTGCTGCAACCACCCTTTCCTCATCAAAGGTGTTGAAGAGAGGGAGCTGGACGAACTCGGCAGCAATCCGACCCCGGCCCAAGTGATAGAAAAGACGATTGAATGTTCTGGTAAAATGATGCTTGTGTCCAAATTGATTCCGAAGCTAAAGCGGGATGGGCACAAGATCTTGATATTCAGCCAGTTTCTGAAGCAGCTAGACTTACTCGAGCGCTATTGCGATGCCAATGCTTTTGTGTATGAACGTTTGGACGGCTCGACTGGTGGAAGCATGCGTCAGAGTGCGATCGACCGTTTTTCTCGACCACACTCGAAGTCTTTTGTGTTTTTGCTTAGCACGAAGGCTGGCGGTGTGGGCATTAACCTTATTGCAGCCGACACAGTCATTATTTTTGACAGCGATTGGAATCCGATGAACGATTTGCAAGCCCAGTCACGCTGCCACCGTATCGGCCAAAAGAAGAGTGTGCAGATTTACCGCTTGGTCACACGGAACACGTATGAAAGCGAAATGTTCGACCGTGCGTCACGAAAGCTTGGTCTTGAGCACGCCGTGCTGGGTACAGCTTCGTTCAACGAGAACTCGCAGATTACGAAGCCATCTGCGGAGCAACTCGTAGAGCTGCTAAAGCGCGGGGCGTATGCGCTGATGAAAGACGACGATACGGCATCCAAGGAATTCGCTGAGCGAGATATTGAGACCATCTTGAAGGAAAACGCTCGTGTTCTTGTTGTAGGGGGCAGTTCCAACCCGCACGCTAGCAAGGGTACAGAGGATAATGCGGGTGGTCTGACAACGCCGATGCATAAAAAGTCACCAACGAACTCCCACAAACGCAAGTCGCTCGGTGGGATGGCGGTAGACCGTTCGTCCTTTGTTGCCGAGGGATCGACAGGTGAGTTGTCCGTGGACGATCCGAACTTCTGGGAGAAGGTGCTTCCAGGGGCTGTCTCGGTAGAAATGCTGAGTTTGAAGCTCGAAGATGGCAGCGCGATGAGCTCGCGGCAGTCGAAGATCAAGTTTATCAGCAATTTAGATATTGCCTTGTCTAGCTTGGTTGCCGAGATGAGTTCAAACAACAATCCCGACGATGGCCGCGTTGGTGGTCGAGATATCCAACACGAATATGACATCGCCATCCAAGTACTGAGTACCGTGAGCTCAAAGTATCATGATGAGTTTTCCAACGAACAGATTGATCTCGTGAAGGAGTACTTGACACAGCTCGAAAAGTCGCGCGTCCGAAGCTGCCGCCTAGCACCGTCCCGGTCAAACATGTACCAAGACGAGGAGTTTGATACCCCAAAGAAGAAAAAAAGGCGTAGGAGAAGCACTCCAGCAGGCAACAGGATAGCAAGCAGCGAGGACGAGGCGTACGATGGTACTCCCGTGAAGAAGAGAGGCAGCAAGCATCGGCCTCCAAAACATGTGGGAGCCGTGCGCACAAAGCCTCCAGCAGCCCTTCCCCAAGTCGGCGTTCTTAACGACAGTGACGATTTGTGCACTCTCTGTGGCGACGGTGGTTTGATTTTGCTTTGTGACGGCCCATGCCATCGCTCGTTTCATCTGGAGTGTGTGGGCATGGACAATGAGCCGAAGGACGAGCAGTGGTTGTGCCCAGATTGTGCCGAGGGACGTCATATGTGCTTGATTTGCAAGCAGGTGGGCGAAATGGGCGCTGAGTTTGGAGTCACGCAATGTTCGGTAGCTAAGTGCGGCAGGTTTTACCACAAGGGCTGCCTCGCTAAGAATTCGCGCGTCGAGTGGGTGGGTAAGAAGCGATTCCGTTGTCCAAGTCATTTCTGCCATACCTGCTTGCAGAGTAGTAGTCGAACGACTGCTACTACAAAACGCAAGAAGAAAGACAAGACCCAGAGCAGTGTTGTGAGCTGTATTCATTGCTCGCAAGCCTTCCACCCAGAGTGCATTACGTCTTCAGACAAGTTTATTCGGCTGTCTACGAACCTCATGATTTGCGCCAATCATTTGGACGGGAAACAGGCGCCAGCTCCTGCGGGTCCATCAACTGGACCGAAAGCGGCGAACCGCCGTGTCGCTGGTACAGCACTGACTGCTGCGACAGCACAGCAACGAGTGCAAGTTCCAGAGCAGCCTGCTTCTTTGGACAAACATGAGGCAGAAGAAGGAGGGAGAACGTCAGATGGCAAGCGCAAACGCGCATTGTCCTCCTCGAACGGAGTCAGCTCGAGCGCATCGAAGAGAAAAAGATCGGCGTCTTTGGATAAATCCGTCGCGAAATCGACTAAAGCCAAGGTATGTGGGTTGTGCCACCGCGGAAATGTCGTGGGAGGTGGTGATGCGCAAGGATTGCCACCGCGACCTCACGACAAAGGAGCGCGCAATGGCACCGCACGTGCAAGCGCAGGCTCAGCTGGGCCTGCTACTACAGGCACAGCCCTTGAGGGGCCTTTCATTGAAGCTCCAGTTCGTTTCAAACACGCCGACAAGTCGACCGAGACTGTGTACGTGCACTTGAACTGCGCCATGCACTCGCCAGAGGTGTACGTCAAGGCCGACGGTCTCATAATGAATTTGCCCAAGGCAATCAAGCGCGGACGGCAGCTCAAGTGTACTGGTTGCCATCGCTTTGGTGCCACAGTGGGCTGCATTGTCGCCAAGTGTCGACACAACTACCATTTGCGCTGTGCTGTGGAAAGTGGCGGGGAGATTGACAGCTCCACGTACGCTCTGTGCTGCAGAGTCCATCGAGCAGCTGCTCAGAACGAACCGACGCGTGTATGTGTATGCGATAGCACCGAGGGCGCGGCGCTCACGTTAATGTGCTCCTCGTGCAGCACGAAGTTCCACCCAAAGTGCATCAACATGTCGGCTCGCCACGCGGCTCGAAAGGCAAAGACGTGGGTTTGCAGTCGTTGTGACGGCTCGGCCGTAACAAAGCCAGCGACGCCGAGGCACGTGCCTGCGCAGTGCAAGCTCAATACCGCAACAGCAGCAGCAACAACAACGAAACGAGCGAGAAGAAGCACGTCAGTAAGTACGAAAGGCTCGTCGACGACAGCGTCAAAGAAGGAGGAGCAGCAGCAGCAGCAGCAGTAGTAGTAGCAAGACTGAAAAAGTCGATGGCCACGACTCGCCAAAGCGCAAGAAGCTGAAGAAGGATCGCGTGGGCGTGCCGCGGAATAAGTCGCGACCGCCGAGGATGACGATGCCAAGCAATAGACCTCACGGGACGTCGCCTCCTAAGGAGGAGACTGACTTGGATAGCGGCGTGATCACCACAGACGAGTAGAAAGGAGAGGGAAAGGGTACCGAGCAGTGAGTTGTCGACGTGTATGGCAAGCAAAGCAACTTGCAACAATGGATGTAACTGTATCCTGCCTGGCTGACGCGCTCGGAGTCCATCAAACGGCACGGCGACTGGCTGTGGTGGAAAGTCAAGTCTCACCTTGCAGTGAAAAAGAAAAGCCGGAGCTCGACTGACTCCTCTTTGTGATCCGTTCGACTGGCCACTAGCTTTCTGTATTTGTCACGCACTGCCTCTAGCACTGAAATGCTGCAGAAGATGATGAGAGGCTTCTGTTATCACATGCTCGAGCAACTTTCGTCATGCCACACTGTAGCTGCTGCCATTATTGCGTACTGCCAAGTGCAAGCAGCAACTTGTATTTGTCGACTTGCTGCAATGTGGCAACGTGTGGCTGTACTGTCGTAATGCTGTCGACCCAATGAGCAACTTGCAGACAATCACTGCTGCCGTGTGACGCGGCGTACTCAAGTCTCCAGCTGACAGCAAACACAGACGATCGATCTTCGACGAGCCGCGTCGAGCTGCCCACATTCCAGAGCTCTGATATGCGGCATCCCAACTGCAGGGTCGCCGCCAGATGTGGTGACAAAAGAGGGCCAAGGGGTAAACACGCATCGCTGTTTACTGTCGAGGCCTTTCGGTTTCGCGACCGCACGTCTGTGTGCACCCGCCGGACCCGTTTTCGTTCAATCGGGACTTAACCACGAGTGTCGCTGACATCGGTAACCGTTCATTGTCCTCTTGCCTCGCTCCCGTAGACGAACGAAGGAGTCTGTCTGTAAGGAAAACCGGGATCATATGGACGAGCGTCGACAGTCGCAACTCTGAGACAGTAGAAAAGGAAAGAGACAGTTGACGTGTGCCATTTTTTGTAGAGCATCTCCCTCCCTGCGCGGCAACGTTGCAGTTACAGTCCACAAAGGGCAATCCCGATTAGGCGCCAGTCTGTGTCTCCGTGTTACGTCTACATGGCGCAACCATCTGGGTCAACATGTCATGCACCACATGGCGCGCTAGAAGAAGCCGTCGGCCGTGATCGAACTCGATGGTCGAAGCGCCAGTCAGTCCGACTGCGCAAGTCGCTCGCGCAGCTTCGTCCGCCCTGCCTTCGGTCACGTTCTTCCACCCATTGGCAAGCAAAAACAAGCGCACACTAAACTTGCTCTTGAGCGCGGAACCGGTCGTTTCCCTTTCCTTTTCCCACGTGGCGAGAGCGAAGAGGGGCGCCCTCGTGGATAGTCACGTCGTCACATCACGTCACGTCACGTCATGCCACCACCCGCTCCGACTCTTAACGGACGAAGCAACTTGCCGTCTTTGGGCCACGAAGTGGTCGGTACAATCGCACTTCCTCCCCCACTTCCGCGCGGTTTCACGTCGTTCCAAGTCCACACTTGTGAATTGGCTTCCGAAACGCCAATCGACACAGATAGAGCGACTCATTCACTCACTCACTCATTCACTCATTCACTGACTGACTGACTGACTGACTGATAGATAGCCACTGCTCGATCGGCACCCAGTCGGACAATTACCACCCGACGCGAACTGATATTCCGTCCATTGTCCAAAGTGCGCCCACTGTACCACACACACAAACAAGCCGACCGCACCGCTTACGACCACCGACCGACTGTCGTGTCCCACGTGACGCCCGCCCCGCCAACAGCAATGCCCGTGTCCATTGCCTTCTACCACAGCAACAAACGCGGCGACGCCAGCGCCGTGGGGTCGTCGTACCAGAGCGTCGCGCTGCACGAGCGCACAGCGGCCACGCCAGCGACAGCGCTCCCGTGCGAGTTCTACCGCAACATATGGGGCCCCAGCGACGAAGAGGACGCTGCGCTGCGCCGCCGCGCTCGGTCCAGCAAGAGCATCCGCTCGTCCGCGTCGACGTCGTCGCGCCAGTACAAGAAGCGCGTGGCGACCGGTCCGCTCGTCGACATTGCGCAGGTGGCGCACGTGGTCACGACTGTGTCGGACTTTCGCGCCGAGTACGAACGCGACGACGAGGCAGCGACGCAGCGCGTGAACCTCTGGGACGACGGCAGTCTCGCGGCCGTTGACGCAGTTCAGCACAGTAAGAGCGCGTGTGACCCTGCGAGCGACAGTCCCGAGTCGCACGGCAGTCGCGCCAATCGGATCACGGAGGTCAGTTGCGAAGACAGCGACGACGAGCTCAGTGGCTTGGGGTCGTCGGTTTTGAACCGCCATTGGCCAGGACAGCTCAAGCGCGTGAACACGCCCGAGGTCGTGCGGCCCAGCACGGGGAAGCACGTGGCGAGCGGGCGACACGGCAGCAACAAGAAGGAGCGCTCGCTGGGCAGCGCGCCGGTCCCGCCGCCGTCGTCTCACAATGGCAGCGTCATCTTTAGCGACGTGTTCTCGGAGCAGCGCGAGTGGACGTGGAGCGCCAAGTTTCTCCTGGGCATCCACGAACCCATTCGACACGCGCTGTTTGTGATGGACCGCTTCTTGGAGCAGTCGCAGAGTCAGGCGAAACCCGACGCGGCCGAGACGTTGGCTCTGGAGACGCACGTGGCCGAGTTCTTTGGGTGGTTCAAGACGTACTTTGTCGAGTACCTCCAGTGCCAGCACGACGTCAAGGTGACTGTGCTGCTGCCGCTGCTCAACTTGCCCGTGTCGACGAAGCAGCAGATCGTGGATGTGTACCAGGACATTTCGCAGCTGCTGGCGCAGATCCAGCAGCTCGAACGCGCGCTGTGCGTCAGTGGAGCATGCAGTGCGTCGTCGTGGCTCTTGCGGCTGCAGGTGCTGCAGACGGAGATTCGACAGCTGAACCGCACGCTGCATACGACGTTGAACATGGAGGAGACGACGTTGCACGCTGCAATGGGCGCAGCGTTCACTGAGGGCGCGTTCCAGAGCCACATTATGCCGCGTATCTTTCGCGCGATTCGCGCCAAGCGTGTTGTCGTGCCGTGGATTGTCGAGCGCAGCAAGATCTGGGGAGGAGAGACGGAGCAGCACAGCATCAAGGGCATGCTGCCGTTCTCGGCAAAGTTCATGTACCGCAAGATCTGGCGGCCGTACTTTATGAGCAACGTCGCGGTGGCCATGAAGAACCTCAACGAGTTTGTCAGCTCGGCGGGCCCGAACAGCAGTGTCAGCAGCTCCTCGACGTATTGCAGCGAACGCCATGGCGAGATGTGCTCGATCATGTGAAGGCACGTCACGCGAGGAGAGAGGGTATCGAACAGAGTCTTTCGTCCCATGTGACAGAAAGCAAAGAGCGTCGCAGCTATTTATGAGAAGTACGACGGGCAACATGAACATGCCCGGACGTGTGGCCTCGTGGTGTGCCTCGAGCCAGCAGGACGAAAGTCAGTCCATCGTATCTTGATTCAAGATCGTCTGCAAGTAGGCTAAATGGGGCACAGAGGCCGTCGAACGTGACGCCGAAGTAAGTACCACCACACAAAATAAACTCACCATTCGTAAGACGAAAGCAGTGATCATTCCACCATATTTCTTGTGTCTAATAACTCCACAGCGGATGTGTGGGCGGCTCCACTCCAGCACGCAATAGCCATCGCACAGCTACTTTCTCGATGCGCTGCAGCTGCCGGTTGACAACACTCTCACTCTCAGGTGCAAATTGCTCTGTCCGAATCGTCAAAAGTCCTGTACAACGTTCACCCAGAACGAGGTCAAAAAGCTGTCATACATAACATCTTTCCGCCAAAGTCGATCTTACCATTGAGGTTGCCAAACAGCACGTCCGTCGAGTACCGATCGCCAATCATCACCAGTGTCGCGGGATCGACGTCGCCAAAGTGCTTTTTCACAAACGCAATGCCTCCAGGTTTCTACATTATAGCAAAACAAGCGATTGTCAGTGGTCCGTCGTCCTCGACCTGCATTTGTCACTGCACTTGATCCTCGTTACAAACTTTTTCGTCATGACGGAGCACAGCAACATGCAGTCTCGCTTCAATGTCCTTGGCTTCTGCTCCGTCCGGATCGTCTACAGACCCGGCCGAGTTGGAGAAAATGACAACACGCGCATCGCCAAACACGCGGCGGCATTCAGCGAGAGAGGACGCGAGATGCCGAGCGACTTCCGCTTGGTGTGGCGCCGTCAGCGTATTGTCCTTATCAAAGATCACGCCGCGAAACCCTCGATCTCGCAGCGTCTGAAAAGGCACTTGCGTCACATCTAACGCAACAAAAACAAACGAATCAGCATCGGCAGAAACCAGAGCGAAAACGTCACCGCTTCGAACTTCTTCATCCGCACAGCAACACAATATATACCCACATAGCGGGCAACAAACCACGTATCAAGTCACCGACTACTCGATACGTGGCCACTGTTACACGAGATCGCAACGTTTGGCGCTTGCAAAGACTGTCAGCAGAAGACAAAGCGGCAGAAAACAGAAAACGGACCGTGGACCGAAACGTGCGGCAGCAGCAGGTGCGGGCACCGCGTCAACACGCGGCAGAACTCAGTGACGCCACTGAGATTGAGTCCTTTCATGTGTGGTCGCCCGCGAGCCGTCGCGTCGCGTCCCGTCTTTCTACACTTTGTGTCGGGACGAGAGTCGAAACGCGGTCGCGAGGGAGCGCCTTTTCCACCAATCAGCAGCCGCACAGTCGTGTCAACAGCCACTGCCGCGCGCAGAAACACTCGCTCTCCGTCGCCCTCAAGACGTCGGAGCAGTATCGTGTCCTCTCGGGCCCGACACCGCCTCGTCACAGTCGCCACCCGCTCACGTGTGTCGGTCTGTTTGTGTGCGTTCGTATCTCTCTGTCTGTCCGTCTGTCTGTCGTTCTCCTGGCGCTGTGCGTGTGTGTGTGTATTGCGCGTCTTCTCCTATTGCTGTTGGCAGTGGCAATTCAAAGTCTTTTTCGTGCGGTGGGGTTCACGTGCACTTACGTTTGCTCTGCACAGGCGCTCCCGCGACTGAATGGCCGATACTCTGCAGGACGCGAACGCCCGCGGCGACGTCGAGGAGAAGGACGCGCACTCGAGCGCCGGCGACGACTCGTCGTCTTCCAGCTCTGGCTCGTCGTCGTCGTCGTCGTCATCTGATTCGGAGTCGGACGACGACGCCGGGACGGACAATGTCAATGGCGACGCAAGTGGAGTCAAAGACGGCGCTCAGGTCGGCGGAATGGGCTGTCGTAGTGGCGGTGGCTCGACGAACGCCAGTAATGCTCTGGGCCCGTCGTTGTCTGCCCCTCGTCCGCATGGCATGGCGGCCAGTGCGAAAACGATGAACGTGAATTCCACGCGGGCAGCGGCGAGGTTCAAAGCGTCCGAAACTGAGTCGATGATGCCGCTAGGGACGCGCAAGCGCGATCGACGAACGATTGAGGAGATCCAGAGAGATCTACGGGACAAGAGGAAGAAACCGGTAGGGACGTTGAGTGCGAGGTCGAGTCCGCCACCACCGAGAGGATCGCCAATGCGATCTCCGGAAGCGGAAGCGGCCGTCGATAGTGGAGCGCCAATGGCTGTGGGTGGACCCCTCAGCCAGTTTGGGACGGCGGGCCGGCTGCCGATTAAGAGAAAACCAGTGTCGGCCCACGATCGATTAGCGATGAAATTGAATGGACGCAAAAGAACGGGTGCCAAGAAACCAGCCAAGCTGGCTGCTTCAAGCGGAACGGTGCCGCCGGTACTAGTCATGACGAGCAAACCGATGATCAAACCGATGGCGGCGACGACAGCGGCAGTGACTACCGAAAACAGCAGCAGCAGTGAGCACGGAGGTGACACCGGTGGGGATGGATACAGCAGCAGCGTCAGCAGGTCACCGCAGGCAGCGGTGAGTGGCAAGGTAGTGCGTGCAGTGCTGCGTGCGATGCTTCGCTACGGAGACCTGACGGACGTGGGCCTCTATCCAACAGCTGCCAATTTCGCTGACGAGTACAAAATGCCGAGCTTCGTTGATCGGGCGAGTTTGCAGACAGTTACGAGCGTTTCAACCGATCGACTGCACGCGCTTGCACATGAAGTTGCTCACAAAGCTAAGCAAGCAGTTGAAGCGCGACCACCGCACGACAACATCAAGATTGCTGAAGTCGAAGCGAGATCCACTCACATTATCGAGCGTCTTTACGAGAATTTGAAACTTCGTATCGCTGTTCAGCGTGCCTTGCGGGCCGCTGGATGTGCGTCGGGCAACGCACAAGCGAATGCTAAAGGCGCGTACGTGTTGGTGGCCAAACAAAGCGATCTATCGGTTCTGGGCGCGAACATACGTGACTTGCTCAACTGGACCTGGGCTGAAAAAGAGTACGACTGGTCGCAGCGCAAGGACGCAGCGCTGCTACTTGGTGTCTACGTGCATGGATTCGGAGGCTGGGAGGACATTTTGAACGACGACTTGCTCCACTTTCATGGTCAACGAGCTCTGAAAGGTGAGCGGTTGAAGAAGCGTGCTGAGAACTTACTGAAGCGATTGCCACCGCCAGACCTTGACGCTGGTGATCCACGCATTGTGCAGCTCGCTAGCTCACTCGGTCCCGGAGGCTCGAACTCGAGCCAGTCATTAGGTGCACAATTTAGCGCGATTATACAGAGTGGGTCTATCGCTGGGGTCACAGCATCGGCCCCTGCTGTGTCGACTTCCGGATGTGGTCGAATGGCCCGTGCAGCAGAACGATTTGCGACACGGCAACAGAACGGCGAAAAAGCTGCGAGTCGACGTCCGGTTGGATCCAGCAATGGTTCGGGAATGTCAAACGGTCAGGGGCTGGACAGCAGGCGGCAGCACAAGACAGTGATCCCAAAATCAACAGCTCAATCTAACGAGGTCGATTGCGAACCCGAAGATGGCGAAGTTGGTGGTGCAGCACCAGCGTACTCGACGTCGCCGCGACACAAAAGGCGGTCATCATCTGTTGACATTCAAAGTCAGACCTCATCCCGCAAGAGGCACCGAAACGATAGTACTGAGAGCTCGAGCAAGAATGAAAAACCGAAAAAAGAGCATCGACGGCGTGACCGTCACAAGCCGAAAACTGACTCGCTGTCTACCGCAGAGGTATCGCGCGCGGCTTTGACAGGAGCCCCGTTGCCGCTGCTCTCCGTCGATGCGTGTTATAAGAAGTGGAAACCGAACAAGAAGTTGCAGGATATTCGACTGGTGCTGAAAAAGATGCGGATAATGGCCGAGTGGTCACGCAACCAGAATGACGAGATCGTCGTCGAGAAGGTTTTCAAGTATGTGAGCACGATCGGGGAAGCGATCGATCGAGTTGTAACGCAGCATCAAGACAAGGCCGAATTGGAATTGCCGTCGCGCGAGGTCGATGAACTCTGCACGTCCTTGTGGACGTATGCCGCGGGATTCACGCCGTTCACGCCACTGGGGTTTGAGCGTCTGTACGACGATATGTGCGCGGATGCAGATGCTCTCGTTGCAGCCAAGTCATGACGTCCGCACAAGTGTTGCGTGCGATGTTGTGAGGCGAGTGCGTGTACAGCAGAGAATAGTTTGGGCGAAGGTAAAGTTTATCAACAAAAAGTGACCGCATCCAGGTTGTGGACGGCAGTTTGTAGCAGTACCCCCGTGGCTTGCGAATGCCAACTTGACGTGTCGGGTAGAACGGTCTTCAACGAATTGCCAGTCGCATTAGACCGTTTCAGGGGTTTGCTTGCCAGGTGTTTCGTGCTGGAAGGAGTGTTGTGGTAAGCGGCGCATGTGCTGTCGGTGATGTTGCAGAGGCAGCAACGCTGGCACTGGTCGAACAGTTTACGCCACTTTGACGGATCAACGCAAGGTTTGCTGGCAGAACCCTCGAGGCGGAGCTTCGTGCTGTGTGTTTCGATCGACATGCACGAGCGCGAGGGCTTTGCAAAACAGAGCATCTCGACCTTACAGCTTCGTAGTTTGGTCATGAACACCAACGACCGAACTGCCTTGTCGCTCGTCGCGAAGCATCTGCAGTGCCGTTCGTACACTATGCATGCCTTTTGCAGAGACCAACGTGAAACATGAGCACTAGCGTCGACAACGCGTTGCTGGCCGGCTGAGAAAAGCTTCGATCGATGAGAAGCTCTGGACACCTCCTACGTACGCTTACCCACCCCCAGCCTCGTCAACAAGTCTCTATCTTGGAACGCCTCAGGGTGGATAAAGTAATGGCGACCGCGGGCCTGGAACGACACCATGGGGTGCATCGCCTGGGTCGGCGGAGACACTTCCGACAGTCGGAACGAGTGCTGCGTCAGCTGAGCAAACAGCGTCACGGTCTCGACCGTTACGACTGGATCATCTGAAGCGTCGCCGTCCATCGTCGAGCCTGCTGCAGTGTCCGCCACGGGCCTAGCAAGCCACATTTTCATCACGTACGGCTTGAACAGGTAGTGAAACATCGACGTCGTGCCCAGCCCAAACATCATAATAGTCCCACACATGGCCCACTTTCCACCCGCCCAAACAAACAAACAAACAAACAAACAAACAAACAAACAAACAAACACACACACAGACACACACAGACACACACACAGACACACACACAGACGCACACACAGATCAGTTTCACGGCAACTCTCTCCACACCTTAACCACTTCTGATTGGCTCACCTTGCCGATCGTGGATGCGTCCTGGTCGCTCACGAGGCACAGCACGGGCATACCAATGGACGTGAGTGTGCAGCTCGTGACGGACACTGCCTTCATGAGGCGGACGGCTCGCGCCATTGGCGCCTGGTACACCTGTTCTGTCACCAGCTGCGTCTCTGGTTGCAGTTGCTGCTCCGCTGTGTCCCTTTGGGCCTTTCGAGCGTCGTCCGGATGCGGCGACGCGGTGCTCAAGCAGGACACGCCGAAAGGCGCGTGAAGTCCCGAGCCGCAACGGCTGCAGCCGTCGAGTGCGAGACGCTGAGATGCCGCCACATAAACAGAGCGACTGCTGGTGGTGCTTGAGGACGCACAGAGTGCGCGGAGGGACGACGGAAGTGGCTGCGGGCGACGCGTAATGCAGCGCAGCGGTAGTCGGGGGAAGGCCATCATCGCGTGTAGCTGCTGAGCTGCAAGCGAGTGGTTGTCACAGGCAGGCGATGGATCGTACTTAGTGGACGACGCTTAAGTACGGTATGTACCCACTGACTGACTTACAGACAGTCAGACTGACGGACGGCGGGATTGACCGACCCCTTGATGTTACAAACGACACTGGGAACGGCCAGCGGGCTGTTCCCGCGACGTACAGTATATATTCACTCGACGCTTGAGTCACACATGGGAAAGGGTCTTGTGTCCGGCAACCGATCGACCAGCGCGCGCTGGGCTGTCTGTGTTGCCGCGTCATGTGCAACGCGCGTGGCAGGGTCTTCTTTCGTTGCGAAAAACGGGACGTGTTTGCTTCAGCTTGTTGGATTGTTTCGCGCACCTGGCGCTGTGCACTTGCACGTTGAAGCTCAGCGAAAGTGGGGTTCGAAAGTCCCTGTCTATGCATCCGTCTTGTTCCATGCTGTTTTCCCAGAAGGCACAATGCGCATTGTGTACTGTCTCTGCCGCGACCTTCAACAACCCGCGGCGCGTTTCTTCGCGAGTCAACTCCCGTCCATACGGTACACCACCGCGTTTCCGCACGACCAGTTTCGACGGAAAAAGCGTTTCCGATCACGCCGACAAAAAACCGTTGACGGCATCGTGTGGACTCTCCCTGTGTATCCCTATCCGAATGTATCGATGTGTATCTGTCTATGTATCGATGTCTATCTGTCTATGTATCTATCTGTCTATGTGTATCTGTGAATGGCGGACGATGGAAAAAGAACCGCCGCGCGCATCTACCCACGACTTGACGCCATCGAAGCGACCCCAGAAGACCCCATCCCCGTGACTGTCCTAATTCCTTTCGCGCCGATCGATCGATCGATCGATTACGGTAGTGCTAATCACCCGAGCGAGCGGTCGACCGATTGAACGGACGACGTGTCCCCACTCGCTTCTACGTGCCCCACTTGGCCCCTCAGCCGTCGCTGCAATTCCCACCTGCACGCGACGGCATCTGAGCTCCGCGCGCAAACCGCAAGAGCCTGTCACCATCATCCTCATCATCAACGCCATCGTCATCGCCGTCTCGGGTCTTCGTTGCCGGCCCCACGCACAGCGATTTTGGCCAATAAGTGCCACTACGCGCCAAGTCAGGCACCGGACCTTGCGCCCAGCTCGTGTCCCTACGCTCGCTCGGCTGTCGGCCCCACCACAACGTGAGAGAGTGACACCGCTGCGCGCTGCTGAATTCGGCCGACGTCTTGCGGCTTCCGTCGCTCTTTTTCGCGCAAGAACAGGACCGTCGACGCGTCGGTTGCGGTTGCTCTTCGCGGCCGCAGATTTCGTCTCGTCATGCAGAGTCGACCGCAGTCCGAGGGGAGCACCGACTTCCTGAGCGGCCACGCGCCTCGACGGCCAGTGGCGAACCCCTTTGCCGCAACCACAGCGCTGTATCAACGCCACTATGAGCCATTGCCGTCGTCAGCGGCGAGCGCGTTGCAGCGTTCCGTTCCTCTGGCGGACCCGTTGGGTCCGAGTTACAGCCACCACTTGTACATGTCGCTGGAACGCGAGTGGCAGACCCCACTGGGCCTCAGTGCGCCTCCCGCGTACAAGCAGCACAGGTGTTGTTACGACAGCAACAGGGGCGTGGGAGCGAGTGGGGGCGTTCTGGACCCAATTTTGGGCAGAAGTGGCCTCGACGCAGCAACAGGTGCACTGTCCGAGATGGATATGGCTACGGCCGATCATCGAGTGCTGCACGACGGGCACACTGGATCGACGAAAAGCGTGGCAGGTGAGTTGGCAGAGCTCCTCCCGAGTCTACCGACGGCACCAGAGCTGTCGCCGTCACGAGCGCAGACCACGTACGAGCAATCGCTGGCGCCATCGACCGTGTTGTCCGTCGATTCGACAGTTAGTGTCTTGGTGGACGCAGCCTACACGGAACTCAGCGAGCCACGGGACCCGAAATTGAAAACCGAGAAAATTGCCTCCCACCGAAAAGTGCGGTGCAAGTTCCCGGACTGTCCCAATCGCGCTCGAGTGTCTCAGTACTTTGGGAATTTCTGCAATCGGCACGTGATTGTCGCCCCATGTGGGTTTCCTGGCTGTCGGGAAAAGGCTATGGACCACGCTGCCATGTGCTTGAAGCATCTGAAGCTGGGCAAAGAAGCACTCAACAAAGTGTTGACTACCCGCACGCAAAATGTTCCCGTGTGTCGAACGCAGGGGTGCTTTAAGAACGATCAAGGCAGAGGATACTGCCGTGGCCACGAAAACCTGATGATGGCGACTGGACGCTTGCCCGTGCACGTCAGCAGGCGCCGTCTCAACAGTGCGTACACCATGTGCAGCTATCCCGAGTGTACGAAGCATTCTCAGCGGCGTCACTTGTGCCGGACGCACGGAAACCTCCTCGTTAAGCAAGCCCAAGGGCTGGCAGACCAACCAGGAGCTACTGAAAGTTTCGAGGACATTTTGGCCAGGATGGAAAAGGATATGCGTCAATGCACTTGGGCAAACTGCACGAAAAACTCGCAGCGAGATCGACTGTGCACTACGCACTATAACGAGAAGCAGACCCTGCAACGGGATGGTGGGACGCCAATGATTTCTGATGTGGGTGCGGCAATAGTAAGTGAAGAAAACGGTGGAACAGGTTGGCGGGACGGTGCTGAAGACGGCCATGTCCAGGCTATTGTACAGACCGACTACAAGGAATCAAGTTGCGAAGTTCTCCCGTATGCGGTGGAGTCGTCGGTGGGGCATCTGAAGGAGGTTCAGGACCTGATCCCGAGTCGAAAAAGACGTGATTGCGACCCATTTTTATCCAGTGCATCTGCCGGAGTGGTGGTGGGGGGCAACGGTTGTGAACAAAGGCAAGCGTCATATGCGACCACTACAAGCACGGCATGCGCAAACACAATGTGCAATCGGGGGAGCTACGGTAGTGACTACTGTGGCGGATGCCAGAAAATGTTTTCGCTTCTTGTAGTACCGGTGCACGAAAACATGGCTGGTACCTCAGGATACCCGTATAGAATTGCAGCTGACAGCTGTGGACAATTTGCAGGAAATGACTCGATTTGCCGTGCTGCAAAATGGGGGCAAGAACCGGCTCGCGGTGGACCATCCGCATCGCATTTTCGACCATCCGGAACAGGTTCGATGCCAGTGGACCAGGTAAACTTGACCGCGCAGACGCAAAGACAAGAGTGGGAGTTGACAGAGGTACCAGCGACCACTGTTGCAGAAGCGACACAAGCCACTCCGACACGGTCCGGCAGGACAAAGAAATACTACTGCAAAATTGATGGATGCGACAAACAAGCTCAACGGCGGAGCTTCTGCAAGCGCCACTACCGTCTTCACGCAAGTGCCCCAACTGAAAGGTCCGAGCCAGAACCCGAACCCAGCAGTTTTGCAACAGAACTGCACCACGCGGTTTTCTCTCGACCAGCCATAGCCTGTCACTTTCGCGGGTGCTCGCAACTCGCTCGCCCGGGCGCGTCGTTGTGTCCGGCACACGCCGAATCGACGCCCGAGCCCGAACCCGAACCTAGCGGCTTTGCAGGTAGGCTGCACCACTCGGTATTCTTCCACCCAAGCATAGCCTGCCACTTTCTCGGGTGTTCGCAGCTCGCTAGGTCGGGCACGTCGCTCTGCTCGGCACATGCCGAAGCGACATTTTGCTGGCAGCCTGGATGCGAAAACCTCGTAAGCCGCGGTCGATTTTGCGGGTTCCACGGCTTCCGGAAACAGTGTGCCTACGCAGACTGCACGAAGAGTTCAGAACAAGACGGAAGTGGCTGCAAAGACCACGCGAACGCTCCGAAATGCCGCCACGAATTTTGTGATAAGTTCGTCGTAAAGTCGGAGATGTGCCGTTTGCACCAGAGAAGCTGCCAGGACTTTCCATGTGCCCTGTGCCGGCTACATGCGCTTTCTCCGAGTAGATTTGCGGCCGGCATTGACGCGAGTGTTGGCAACGGAGCCGATACAATGTAAAAGTGGCTTCACCGACGTCAATGTGGTAGCGTCCTGTTGTTAGCTGCGGACTGCGGCTACTGTGTGTGTGTGTGTGCAGCATTTGTACATAGCAATGTCGTGTCAAGTTTCTCCATGTTCGTGTTGTTTATCGCTGCAATCGCTTTGTCGTTTGCGCCTATCTTGTCACTGATTGTCCGAAAGGCGTAATCAATCCATGTGAGACAGTGTGATCAGTCAAGTTGACGCAAGTTGTAGCAACGGCAGAATTGATGCCCGCACTCCAGACAGGACGCCCGCAATGCTCATATTAGAAGCCAATATTTCTAACAAATCGTGCGTGCAGCCCGTTTAGAAACGACGTCTCTTTTTTATCAACTCGTTTTCTACTCTCGATCGATACACACTTGGTTTGCGTCTCGAAAAACCGGTACTACCGGTTCTGTACCCCACGCCGCAATCGAGCTCATTGCAGCAGGACTCGTCATGGAGCGCGTCTACTCGGCGTTCTTCGCGTCCGAGCGACGCAACGACTCGCGCGAGCTCACGGCGGCGTCTCTTGCGTGTCACAACGAGACGCTGAAGCGCTCGGATGGACCGCCGCAGCGTACGTGCGGTAGCGAAAGCGACCGACGACGTCGCGAAGATAGCGACAAGAGACTGAGCGAATCGATTCCCGAAGCCATGCGACACGCAGCCGCGCGACGCCAGGAGCTCTGCAACCTGACGACCGACTGGAAGCGCTACTTCAAGAACGATCTGGAAGCGGCGTGTCAGGCCGCGGCACGAGCTTTTGTCTTGGCGTACGGCGCCAAAGCGTTTACGGCTGTGCTATTGGCTTCGCGAAAGTGGAGCAGTCTCGAGTACGGCTACGCTGACGCGGCGAGGCTCTTGTTGCGACGCGATACGCTGCGATTTGGCGCTTTCTTTGGGACGTTAGTGGGGACGTTTCGCGTCACGGAACTTGCGGCGCGCGCGGCTCGAGGCGGACAGCGAGATGCGATCACTTTGGCCATTGCTGGCTTCGTGTCTGGCTCGGCGTTGTTGCTGGATTCACCAGCGAGGCGAACGACCGTTTCGCTGTACATTTTCGTACGCATGGTGGACGTCGTGTGTCGCCATTTGACGTCCAGCGGCGTCTTGCCGACGTGGCGGTACTCCTCCGAGATGCTCTTTGCCATGAGCAATGCGGCAATTCTGTATGCCTTCGTGGTAGATCCGAGCTTGTTACCCGAGGTGAGTCGTTTTTGCGTTTCTTTTTTTGTCAGCTCTTTCTTTGCTGCCGTCAATATCGCCACTGATATCGTTGTTGTTGTTGTTGCTGTTGTTGCTGTTGTCGATGGGTGATGCTGACGCTATGACGGTTTGCGTGTACTCTTTGCTTTGCAAGAACTATTACCAATGGATTTGTCGGATCGGCGCCGTCAATCATCATGGCTTAGAATACACTGTGCGCCAGCGTATGCGTGGTGCACTAGACGCCCATGGAAACGCGTTGTCGTTTCGTCCGTGCCAACCTCACTACCACATGTACGCTCTCCACGATCTTGCCAAGTCAGTGTGACTGCGTTTGGATGTGGTGATAACGATGAGCGCCGTGCGTTGTTGTCTGAATTGCCTTGCAGGGAGTCCTGTGTGACGCACGCAATCAAGGAATGGATCAACGGCTTGGGGAGGTCATTGCAAATCTACCTTCCGGTACATTTTCTTCCGGCTATGATTTTTCGCTTTCAGCAGCTTCGAGGAGCTCCAGCGAGCACAACCGCCCGCATCTCCTACGCAGCACTACGCTCCTCAGCGTTTCTTACGTCGTATCAGGTTCGGGTGTTTTGCGACGAGAACTAGCACACAAGTGCGCTGATACGAATGCGTTGTTGCTCGTTCAGACGGTGGCGAAGTTGGTGATATGCATGGCTCGCAACGCGTTACGCCGAGACGAAGCTGCCGCGCCGCTGGCTGCTGGAGTGAGTGCATTACTATTGATGCAGGTTGTGTGCAAGTCTGCGGATCTAACGCATAAACGTTTATGCCCATGTCAGATTGCAACGGGTGGCGCTTTGTTCTTTGAACACACCAAGCGCCGCTTCGAACTCATGCTGTACTGTTTGCCACGCGCAATCGACATTGTGTGGCAACTGCTGAAGCGCCGTGGCATTGTGCGCTACGTGAAGCACAGTGAAGTAGTGCTGTTTTGCCTCTCGATGTCGCTGATCATGTCAAGCCCGGCGCGTTATTTTAAGCCGCCATACCTTCAGATTCTACGATTTATATTCGGAGGCGACATCATTTGAAGTGCTGGCTTGCAACACGGAGGAACACAGTCAACTCACAGCAGGTCGCGTGCTAGTAGTACTTCGCACCCAGTTGGCTTATTGGTAAGATACACTACTTACTTACGCCTTCAGGTCGTTCAGGACAAACAAATCGAGCATCTGCTTTGCCTCCTTGGGCTTGCTCGCCGGCACGAGATGACCCGCGCCTTTCACAGTAACGTACGTGAGCCCCTGGAACAGCTCGACGAAGCCACCCGTTTGGTTCGAGCCCTTCTCCACATACGTCCAAGCCGAGCGCGGGGCAAGGCGAGGAAGACCCATCGATTCTACTGCCCATAGCCCACCCAGAGCATTACAGACGAAATCGGCGTCGCCGTGATAGATCACGCCCTCCACTCCCGCGTCAAGTAGCTGGCGCCACAGCTGCGTCACTTCAAAGTTGAGTGTTGCTGTGTACTTCAACATCAGGGAACGCTCGAACAGCGAGCGATCGATACCGAAGATCGAGCTCAGCATATTCAACGAAGTCGTCGTAAGGGCACTGCCATCCCAGTGCGCGAGTCCCGGGGAAACATGCAGTGCGTCACGGACCGCGGCTGAGTTAAAGTAGGACTCAATATGCGGCATCTCAATGCACATTCCCATCGTACTGCCAATCGGGTGCGGTAGTGTACCAGGAGCTGTGGGTGTTAAAGCCCGCTGTACGAGTCGGCCGATGTCCTCCTCAAGTGAGCCAGCGCACGAGCCATACACGTCGTAGATGTTAACGCGGTCTTTCACTAACGCCGTGATCACGTCCGTCGTAACGGATGTGCAGTCCGAGCTAACCCCAGCAGTACCTGGCAATGCGACACCGGTCTTTTCGAACTCGTGGAAGTTGGGGCAGCTCGAGCGGACCTTCTTGTACTTTTCCGTGCTGAGAAGGCCATGATAGTATGCAAACATGACGGACGACAATCCCGAGTACTCGTTCACCCCGTTGCCCACCACGAACTTTTTCAGATTGATCCGTTCCGATAGGTGTGCAGCAGCCGCGTTCCCTTTCAGAATGGCCAATGCCGTCGTGGGTACATAGACTCCACCATAGCTCTCTCCAGAAACGACCAAGTCATTTGCTCGAAGCCAGGGGAACTTTGCAAAAAACTGTTGCAACGCGTCGTACAGGTCTTGAGCTTGTGAGAGATCGTCGGCCTCGTACACCCCGCTGGCGTTGTAGCTGAATCCGACGCCCACTGGAGACTCCACACAGAGCAAATTGGCTCGTTGGTTCCACGCAAAAGCGTTCACTCGCAGCGTCCTCCCGTCTTCGTTGATCAGTAGTGGCCCGTTCTCTGAGAAGCAGCCAGCGAGCGAGCTACTTCCTGGCCCCCCGTTGAGCCACAACAGCACTGGGTCCGTCCGGGGCGTGGCACTCTGCGACTCAGCCAGAAAGTAAAAAGCTTGACCTCCGTTTGCCAGTGGCAAATAGCCCGAGAAGAGCCGCGACGTGTACGTACTGGGCTTGCCAGCAAGTGTCAAGATCTCGTCGGACAAGCCCGTGGAGAGCTCGCTCGGTAGGCCCACGAGACCTGCGTCGACCGAGTCCGGGATGGAAGCTGTACTGGCCACGCGTTCGCCCATTCGAAGGCCAGTTCCCGTCTGTAGCGAGCGCTGAAGTGCTACCACGAGGCTCCCAACAGCTACGAACAGGAGACACGAGACGCCGTAGCGGATATAGCGGCGGTTCGAGGCGGACAGCAGATCGCGCGCGGGTGGCGACGACTGGTCGGCCGAGTGGAGGCCACGCACGAGTGACGCCGTCTCGCGCATCGGGTCGGGGGAGTCGATGCGTTTGTGGCGGGCGCTTGAGGGGGGCGCTTGATGGGGTGGAGAGCTGAGTCAGCAGTAATGAGTGGTCAAATGACTGGCAATGGGTGAACAAGAGTTGTGTTTGACAAGTGTATGGAGGGCTGTTCCGTAAACAAACCGCTTAGTGAACAAGGGCACAACCCAATCAGCTGTCCTTTCGCTACTTTAGACCGCTACGAATAAGATTGTGCGGGAAAGCGTGCGGCTTGTTTCGTCAACAAACCGATGAGTAAACAAGGGCGCAACCCAAGCAGCTGTTGTTTCACTACTTTTGACTGCTCAGAATTCAGATTGTGCGGGAAACGGTTCGGCTTGTTGTTGCGCGGTCACGAGTCCGTCCCGTAAAGTACCTGTATAAGTATCCGTTTGGCAATGTATGTGTGGCCTGCTTTGGTACACAGTCTTAACGACGAATAGCATCGAAACAATGAACCAGACCTGCCTTTCGACAAGAGAAGAACCTGTCGAAACAGATATGGTCGACAATCTGCATCAGATCACGGAGGGTGTCGATGAACACAGCAATCCGCAGTACTGTGTAGCAGCCGTCTGTTTTGCTGTACCAGCCAACATGATATGGGAACGCGCAGACATACGCACCACAACTACATCAATATAAACGGGCTGAGTCGAGCAACCTTCCGCGACGCAAAGTGTATGTAGCACCGATTGGTTCCCGTGAATGACTCAATGGCATTTGAGCTCGAAGATGGGCGACTGAAACGCTTTTTTGCTCTGTAACGGTTGCAGTGCTCACGTGCCGAGTATTCAGATCGCAGTCAGCTTAGGGACACATCGGCCCTCCGTCCTTCAGTTTACATGAGCTCGAAGCTGCATTTTTTCGATGATTGGCTTACTAATGATCAATCTACTACCCCTTCATCCGCCTTTTCTGGCAACAAGTAGATGGTAAGCAATCCGATCCCGACAAGACAGAAGATATTTTTAAGCAATACAGGCTAGCAGTTCTCGCATATATAGATATTAATCAAGCAGATGACCATCTCCAGCTGCTTTCAGCATTGCTAGATCCGGTGTGTAGCCCCCAGTCCAAGGAAGAGCTAGGTACTGCCAGCCACGCAAGAGGAGGCTCTTACCACGACATTTGATACTTGTTAACACGATAATGTAATTTATAAATTTTCTTGACTTATGTGTTCAGCCATATACCAGCTACCGATTGGCTAAAACGGTAGCTTTCTATAAATAAAGCTTCTTCTTGTTGAGCTTGGTAAACTGATGCTTTTATTCGAGGTCTTCCCGACGATCGCATTGTAGAGAGCACATCATCATATCGTCGTTGAAGACGACCTGTCGGATGACGAGGTCGTCAAAGATTTGGACTACATAATGATGACCTTGCCACAAAATGAAGAAAATTATATTGGGTAAAGCAAAGCTCGCCGATTGTTTCAAAAGAGACTATAGGTCTTACAATACAGTAACAGCAGCGCATGTATAAGGACTTTTGTAAACAAGAGTGGTGAGTATCGGTATGTAGATGTCGGGTAGCAGATCACGAGGAATTTTCGGCACTCTACGGGCTTGGAATAACCCCGAGCCATTTATATCGAATAAGATAGATTTTCGGCCACACTCGAAAAATAAACAGATTTTTTTGGATCTACTCGAAAACTAATGTAATTAAAAAGGCATACACGACAATATTGTAAATGAAGAAAGATACTACAAAATAATTCGACAAATATATGTTGCACTAAAAAAACAACAACAAAAACACTATATGATAAGAGAGTAATATGATAGTGTACGAGATAAGAAATTTATGCACCACTGATGTATACCATACGAGCCCATATATCCGAGCTTGAGATCAATCACGAATATTGGTGTACTCGCTGATATTCACACAGCTGTAGTAGCAAATCGAATAAGAAAAAGCCTTCTCCGTGATGCGGTAGTTCCACCGAGGTGAACCTGTTACATGGTAATAGTATAAAATATTTGCGAATAAGGAATATCACATTGAAGTATCCTCGTAGAATATCATAGAACACAGTGAATTTCTTGCGGTGATCCACGGGCCTACTTATTGGTTGATGCATGGAATGATATCACACATCAATCGCTGCTTGACGCGTGCAATGGGTGGTGAGTAGACGTCGCGATACATGTTCTAATCTTAATATGATAAAGCTAGGACTTCAAAAGAAGCCGCTATTCACCCTCACTTTTCGCTAACCATCAATCACCCCCATTTTACCAAGCATCTGCATACCTCTCTCGCGCTGTAATTGGCTAAATGCAAACTGATAAACATATTAATTAAATGCAAATTTTGCGTGATCTAAATCCTCGTTGAAATGTGGTCATGCACAAAATCAACTTTTGTCCTTTATGTATTACAGACGACTCTCCGCAAGCGCTACCATGTCCAGATACTGCTCATTTACATTAGGTGGACATCTAAAGTGCTTTCATTCGTCCTCAGCACTTAGATCAGTAAAATGTACCAATTCAGTCCCTGCGGAAGTTGGTAGAGGTTGCAGAAATCTTCTTCAGTTGTGTCCTGCTTCTCTGCAGTTGCCCTATCGACGTACTGGCCGCAAAGAATTTTTCGCAACTTCAAACTGCGAAAGATCCCGCTGAGTAGAACTCAGCGACTAATGATGTCCAATCGATTGACGTGTGAACCCCCAGTGGCCATGTGAAGCGCTGCTTGGCGCTTCAGCAGAAGCTTATCGTGCGTCGTTCTTGGACACGGAAGTGCCCGAGTGCAACGTGGTGTTCCATCGCAAGAAGCAGGAATTTCTCGTGGCGGGGACGCCCATTTGCGAGTGTTGCGCCATGCTGGACCGATGGTTTAGAGGCCTTCGCTGCGGGGCAGCTCATCGAGATGGTCAAGGATAACTCGCTGCCTGTGCATTTTCCCTCTTCAAATTCTTCTTGGATGCGCTTCATTTTTTTCCACAATTGGGGTGGGTGCTATATGCATCACTTCTTGTCGAGGAGGCTGCAACAACCACCAGTGTGCATCAACATCCTTGAGGGCTAGCACCTTTGTCGGTCTAGATGGTACTGCTGCTGCTTCATTTGATGCTTGTGGTCGAAAATCGTGCCAGCACGGCACCCTAATGTTTGTAGTAAACATGCCGTGACATTCCACATCGTTATTCTCATTGTTCTATATGGACGTACCGAGTCGCATTTTGTACTCTTTAAACGCTATCTTTAAAGCTGCAGCAGAGACCTTGCAGGTCACAGCATAAAAATGCCGACCCGTAGCCGAGCCTTGTTGACGCCCGTTCCCTACCTGTTTGCAGTCTGATATTTGCAAGCTGATTATCACAAGCAAGCTGGCGAGCGTCTTCCATTGTCAGAAAAATCCCCCGTAGACACAGTTATCCATGACTTGACTGCTGTATGCGCGCTTTCAACGCGCGAAGTTGTTGTATGACCAAAATGCAGCGTATAATAGATAAGCGCTGCTACAAACCGGTCCTTGTACAGAAAACAAGTCTCTTCAAGATAATAACGACATGGAGAGGAAATCGCTTTTATCCTAGCCAATCATCGATTGTGTTCAATAGATGTTTTCTATCGCACCAAGCTGTTCCAGTGCTTTTCATGAACTTTGAAGGCCGCAAAGCTTGCAAATGTATTCCATTGCCGGTCAATTTGTTTTGCTGATGTGCCACTGGCACGAATGAAAATTGACGTTGCCATCATCTAAAAATACATTAGACAAAGAAGGCATCAATGTCAATTCACGATCAGTGACACACGTCTTTGTTACCACAAAAAAGCTGCTAAAACCTGCTGTATATGCCGTAACACCCGAAGGTAATCTTTCGCACGTTCCCTAGACATGAAAAAGTACACAAATGTAAATGTTCGGTTCGCGGCCGTGACTCCCACAACGTGCATCAAAGGCAAAAAAAACGATTGGTCTTGTATGTTGAGTCGATCACTCAAAACTATCCAGCGCGAAATCGGCGTCAACTTGCTTGAATGGAAGGAGAGGTAATCAGTAAGTGTGTCAATTCTCGTTGATCATTCGAAATTAACAAAATACGGCGCATCAGGGCGGCCTTCAAGTCCATCAAGTAGAGCAACAAGCGGGTAGCGACTAGCTAGGATGCGAGACCGCTCTACTTGCTTGGCAGTGTATACATCTCGGGGAATTATTGTTATTTCACGACGGCGTATTGCAGCCACTATTCGGGCAGGTTTCTGTCGGTCAACTGAAGCTTGAATTATTCCTTCGCGTTGCCATTTATTCAGCGCGCATAGTTGCGAGTGAACGACTGGATCGGTGAAGGGTTCGTCATCTTTATTGTGGATGCCAACTTAAACTTCCCATTGAGCTTCTTGTTCAACTCGTAGAACAGGACATTTGAGAAATATAGCCTGTCCCACATCTAGATCGAACAAGATTGTGCTGATTAAATGTGGAGCTTGCTGCCTCTTTTGGTGCTCATGAACACGGCAAAGTAACAGCTTTGGTGTCACATTCTTTCTTGTTCCCGATTCGCATAGTGTGCAGAATAGTCACAATGCAGCCTTTCTCAGCGAGAAGTGAATTAAGAGCAGCACGCGCAATTTATAGAGTAGCATAGGTGGTGTTGATATGTTCATTACAACGACTCATGCTGATATGAGCGTTGTTCCATACGTAGATGCCTGTGTAACAAAAGAGCAATCATTGGTACCGAGCAAGAGTAGTATGAGTGCGTTCAATTCATTGGGCCATCACAATTTTACAAAATGGGGTGAGTGCTGTTTAGCGAAAAGCGACTCCCACTAAGAAACCATAAAGTATTTAGGATTAATCATAGGGAGGATAAGCAATGCCCCATTTGATCACGAAAATAAAAAAAATGCCCCAGATAATCACGAAAATAAAAAAAAACCTTAGATAATCACGTAAAAATTGCCCACGTCCTAGTAAACTCAAGTTAATGTGGTACAAATAAACCACACGTCCTTAACTATTTTAT